GAAAGCATTTGTTTGGTTATTTGGACTATCTTATTGTCTAGCTCCTCACAGATACATTATCAATCATCTTTGAACTTAAATGGGCTTTTGTTAAGAGTATTAGTCCTGCGGAATCCCCCAGCCCATCTGAGAGCGACGGCGGGGAGGGCACACAAGAGTCTCCCCTTTCTTCTTTGCTTGCTTGCCGGGTACCCCTTCCCCAGCATCCCCTCCCTACCACCAACCACTGCAAAATTTTACCCCGAAAGATAGAACACATCCTCATGCCAGCTTGCAGTGAAATTCCAGCTAAACCCAGTTAATACTCCTGCCTAAATATTCATTTGCAGCTTACTTTTGTCCCTGCCTTATTTCATCGCTTTTCCTCCGATGGGATTTTGAGAAACCCAAGGGTATAATTCTTGACATGTTTCATATTTTTGTTTGTTTATCCACATTTTGTTTTGTCTTACCAAGACCATGGGAAGAAGCCATCTCTGATAAGAGATATGGCTCGGGGCAAGCCATACCCCCATCTTCCTCACCTCCAGGAGGGTTTGTGGTAACATCATGCCCAGGACTTACAGTAAAGGACACACTGAATTGCAATGATTTTTCTTCATGCCCACATCATAGCTGGTGAGGGCAGGAGCCACGGTCTGCTGGTTGTGAGTGCCTGGCACATTTCAAAAATACGTTTTTGAAAGAACGCCTGGCAGTCTGAGGTAGTAACCTACGTTGGAATTTAAGCTTTACCACTTAACTCACTCCGTTCAAGGAAAATCCCCTAATTTCTTCATCTACACAATGGAATGATTTCGTCACTACCCACTTGAAGGCATTGCTATGAGGTTCAAAATGGCTAACATGCATTTTCTACACTTCTCTCCTTACATTGAGTCTTAGGTCCTTAACCTAAGAAGTCTGTAGTTTCTTTGGTACATTTTTAGAAAGACAAGTTTGGATTTTCTGGGGGATATTCCTGACTCTGATGATATTCCTTAAGCTTACTTTTTGGGATCTGCCTGCTTTTGCTTATACACTTGTTTGATGCTTTTTATAAAATATTTATTCATTTATTTTGAGAGAGAGAGTGGGGGGGAGGGAAAGAGAGAGAGGGAGAGAGAGAATCCCAAGCAGGCTCTACACCATCAGTCTAGATCCCGACGTGGGGCTCAATCTCACCAAATGTGAGATCTCGACCCGAGCCCAAATCAAGAGTCGGATGCTTAACCAACTGAGCCACCCAGGCACCCCTGTTTGATGGTTCACAAACATGTATTTTTATTAAACAATTCCAAGCTGTAAGGCCATATTCTACATGAACTAGTCCGAAAACTGGTTTTACAGCTGTTTTTATGATAATTCAATATCAGAATAGTGTCCTGCTTGTACACAGTTCACCGTTCCTTCAGAAACCAGAGGAAGCAGACCAGGGTTTCTAACAGCCAGGCACGATGTTCAGAAATCCTGTAGCGCCCTTACAGCCTTCAATTCACCCAGTCAAAAATGTGGCTAAAATCAGATTGTCTCTTTTGTCTGCATAGGGTTTGTTCTGTGACAGCTTGTCACCAGCGAGATTAGTATAGATGCTCATTAATCAAGTCAGGTCAGGGGAATCTGAGCGGCTCAGTCGGTTAAGCGTCTGACTTCAGCTCGGGTCATGATCTTACAGTTCACGGGTTCGAGCCTCTCATTAGGCTCTGTGCTGACAGCTCAGAGCCCGGAGCCTGCTTTAGATTCTGTGTCTCCCTCTCTCTCTCTGAGCCTCCCCCACTTGAGGGTCTCTCTGTGTCTCTCTCAAAATGAAAATCAACATTAAAAAAAATCAAGCCAGGTCAGAAGGTCAGCTTTCCCACTCTGAGAGCTCCTTTGTGGCACCTAGAAGAGCAACAGGCAGGCAACAAACACCAAGCATGTTTTGCTATGGGAACGCCAACTAACTTGCGAGGGGCTCCCTTTGGTGGGAGGACATATAATATGATGGTCCAAAGAATCGTTTTTAATGTTACTCAGACCTGAGCTCATATGTTTATTATGCTTTTTTTTTTTAAAGTTTTGTAACTTCTGAGCCTTTTTTTCCATCTGTAAAATGGACATAAACATACTTCCATAATAGGCATAATACAATTGTTATGAAAATTAAATATAGGACGTTGCTCAGCACAATGTAGGTGCTCAATAAAAGGTAATTATATTGTCTGTAACAGCTGGTAATGTTATTAATTATCGTGAGATGAATAAAATTGCAATACCATTTCTATTATAATAAGGCGAATGCTTGATTGGTACTGTCCTAAGAACTTAGGAATATTAACTCACTTCATCAACACACACTGGTGGGACTACTATTGTTCCAGGTTTACAACTGAGACTCAAAGAGGCTATTAGGTAACTTGCTCATGGGAAAGGGCACACCCGGTTTTGAACTCAGGCAAAATTCAGCTCTAGAATCATACCACCACCCCACACTACTGATGCCTTTCTGCCCAGCGATGCTGTTGCGGACTTAATGTTTTCGTGAAATGAGTGGCAGTTTTCTGGACGGTGCAGGAAAGAACAGTGTATCCCATTACGGCCGCTCGTCAAAGGTACCCACTTTTGATACCCATGGCAGGAGTTTGTGTCCACTAGATGGCGTTGTTGTGTTAATGAAACGAGAACCAAGTCAACACTTTGGCTTAGGAGCCTGCTAAATTTGAGACCAGCCACGACAATCTAATTCCATGCCTGACAGTCTGATGGAAGAAACCTCCAAACTTTACAGCATATCCAGAGAACTCTAAAGACTAGTGGTACCGAGAACTAGTTAGGAAAAATCTATGCCGGCTGTTTTCTGAGCATCGAAGTTTGTAGAAAATCTGGAGGCGTTTTGAAACCATGTAGTCCAAATGCATCAGTTCATAAATAAATAGACTGAGGGCCAGAGAGGAAGTGTTACTTGGAGAAGGGTACCCAGACTTGATGGCTTTGGCTGTAGTTCTCTTTCCCTAATACTTCCAACTGATTCTAAATCACAGAGAAACTGGTTTCTGAATTCCTGGAAGACTTTCTAAGTCTTCGTACGGGGCAGAAGACTGCCCAACGATGACGAGTGTTTGCCTCATTATGTTTTATACAGATGTTCAAAATCAGTAGCAGACTCAGACAGTTAGATATTAAGGAAAAAATGGAACCTATTTCTTTTTCTTTTTAACATGTCTCTTGGAAATTGAGTGAGCCCACCTTAAAAGACTGTCCCTATTGGTTGACAGTGCAGTTCGTGGATATTAAACCCAGAGCGGGTAACAGGGTAATAGATAAGCAAAAGGACTCTGGAATCAGACTGTCCTGGTGGACCCGAAGGACCCTGGGAAGGTCATGAGACATCTCTAAGCCTCTGTGTCCACATCTGTAAAATGGGAATCCTACTTTTACTTATGAGGTGTTTGTAAAAATTAAATGTATGTGAAGTGCCTGTGACATCGTTAAAAAACAAGGTTAAAGGGAGCAATAATAATGAATAATGAACTTTTGTTGCGATAGCGGATGTTCTGTTTTCTGTGTCTCTCAGTTGTGAATGTCTTTACAGGGGCTTTGTCAATCACCTCTTCAGTCACGGTCACGTGCTAAATTGCTGAACGAGAGAAATAACGTTTCAGGTTGTATAACTGTGTAACATCACTTCTTCCTCACCCAGATGGCAGAAGTAGCCAGGATACATATGGCATGTGCTTCATTACGTGTTCACGTCAACTTTATTTAAAACACTCGTAGGCTCCGGGCTCCTACTCACAGTTTAGACAGAGAAGGTGACTGGCATCCAAATAATAACAGCTAAGAGCAATTGAACACTTGCCGTGTGTCCAACATCCCTCTGCTTTGCGAGTATGAACTCATTTAATTCTTACTTACAACCGTGTGATCTAGGAACTAACACTTTTCTCTTTTTAAAGAGGAGGAAGCCGGGATCCAGCAACTCATCCCAGCTGAAAGAAGCCAGAGTCGGCATTTGAACTCAGGTGGCCTGGGTCTTAAGGACTCTGCTCGGCCAGGATGAGGTCAGGATGAGAGGGGGAGGTTGCTCCAAGGTTCCTGAGACCGAGCTTGCTCCCCACCCCCCAGCCCCCACATACCGCAATGAAGCCTGATAGAGACATGCGGCCTCGGTACCCAGGAGGCTCATGTGTTAAACCATCAATATTTTTACGGCAGTTAGTTGATGAGCTCAACTGGTTAAACATTTAATAGACTCCTGAGCTTAACAGGGCAAAACAAAGTTGTAACAGGTCGGGAGAGCGCATACCTAGGGACAGGGCACTCTTGAGGACCACGCCTTAAGGGATCAAAGCTCACTGCAGCCAAAGGAGGGTCAGGTTGCTGAAGCAAGCATGCCATCGTGCCTGTGACTAGCCCTGTTCGCTGTAACTCATTTGTTGCTCGTATGTTCCGTGACATTCCAGACTACCCTCGTTTCACTGCCAGTGATTCAGACTCTATTCCCATGTAGAATTCATGAATTCAGATTTACAAGAGGCTTAGCCATCTTTCTGATCTACCCCTCTGCCTTTGAAAAGAAGCAAACTGAGGTCCCATTTGCTTACGGTTTGTCCCAAGTTATCTTAGAGCAAGAATCGGAGCCCTGCTCATTCAGTTATCACATACCTGTTCTACATCCCTCCCCTATTTTATTTTCAATAGTATCACTCAGAATTCTTGCTGAAATTCCCGTGTTTATGCCAAATTGAGCCCAAATCCAACAGATAGGTTCTGTTCTTTACGGATAGCGTCTTTCCGTTTTCAATTTCTTCTCTCCTCCTTTGCTGGACATAAACTTTTACGGGGCTGGAGAACAATGCCATTTATTACAACGCACTTTTTAAATCAGACAGTCTTATTATTATCATTTTTTTTTTTTCTTTAGAAGCCACGAATGCAAGTCATTGACTCTACACCTGAGAAAATGCCCGGCCTAAACAAGACCATGGCAGCTTCAAAGCGTGATTGCCAACAGCGAGGTGGGGGAGGAGACCGCCACTTACCGATTTCAGTCATCGTTATCCCGGGTGCTAGCTGCCCGTTGTTGAAAGAGCTATAGGTAAACAAGTTGGGTACGGAGGTGAGGTCATAGATAGGTTCTTGCTTTATCTGTTTGATTCCAGTCATGTCAAGTCCTGACTGATCAGGGGACGGCTGGCCGGAATCCACGCTGTAATAACCCTCGGACTTGGGCAGGTCGATGACGTGTCCGTTGGCGTAGGCGCCGCCGGCCTCGTTGCTCAGGTTGCCCAGGCCGTTGCTGATGCTGCCGCTGTAGACCCTGGCGAGGGCTTCCGCCTCCCCGCTCTGCTGCTGCCGCTGCTCCTGCAGCCGCTGCTGGTGCTTCTGCACCTCGGCGTACAGGCTGTCCCTCTGCTTCTTGGACATCCTCCCGAACTTCACAGCTGCGTTGGAGAGACAAGCAGAAGAGGGCACTTGGGGTTATCATTCCCGATCCATCCGAGGGGTCACGGACGGTTGTCCCCTCAGCATCCAGTGCACAAAATCCCAGCACCATAGCGGAAGGCTCCATGCGTTCGCACCCCACATTTGGTGAAAGGCTATGTTCAGGGGTGTTGTGCTGGTGTATGAGCAGAGCGAGAGCTAACCGTGAGCTAGGAAGGAATGCCAGGGCTTAAGTTTATTTCTGATGGCCATGAAGTTAGAAGGCATATTTCCTGGTTCTTTCTTACGTGTTGGGGGGGGGAGGGGGGAAATCCACAAACCAAAAACTACAAATAGTACCTGCTGTTAAAATGTCAACCAACATTCAATATTAGCTTCCCCTACTAAGCATTAGGGTTACTAGATTGTTGGATAGGGCCCTATTATTTCACCATTTTCATTTTTTTAAATCTCTGGACATGCCTCACCTTTTTATTATAAATGTTTATTTATTTATTTTTGAGTGAGAGACAGAGAGAGAGAGGGAAACACAAGTGGGGGAGGAACAGAGAGAGAGGGAGACACAGAATCCAAAGCAGGCTCCAGGCTCCGAGCTGTCGGCACAGAGCCCGATGAGGCGCTCGAACTCACGAACTGAGAGATCATGACCTGAGCCGAAGTTGGACGCTTAACGGACTGAGCCACCCAGGCACCCCCTCACTATTTTCTACACAGCATGTTGGGTAAGACCAACGCTGCGGGGCAGGGTGATAAATGCAATTTTAAGGAAATATTTGTCTTCAGCTGGCTTTTGGGATCCAATTCAAAGAATATTTGGAAAACAGCAATCTTGTTAAGTCCAATACTCAGCAAGGAAGCCCACAGCTACCCCTCCTTTCTTGTTCTACCAGCCCCAAGTTTTATATTGCCCCAAATCCTTAGCCATCGTGAGGAAAAAGGAGGAAAAGTCTCTAACAGGTCACAGAGTAATCTGAGGATGCTTTGATCTGAATTCATTGTTTCTTAACTGGTAGAGTTTGACCTCCTGATTTGTTATGGATATCGACATTTTCCCTCACAAACTGTCAACTCCCAGTTTAGGCTGTGAATATTTTAAGTGAGAGGCTACCTTGTCTGCCTCATCAAACACTATGTCCTGCAGTTCATGTTAACGGTGGGGACTACGGCAAACTTGGAGGCTCCTGAGTTTCTATTTTCTTTTCTTTCGTGACAGTGTTCTCATCACCTGTTGGTATTTGGAAGCCCAGGGAATGTAGAAAGAAGGAAGTGGAGGGTAGGAACAGGTCCAGTTCCTGGATTCAGTTAGTCGGGTTCGTGAGAATGATTTCTGAAAATAACTACATGGTGAAGTGCTTAAGGACTCTCCAGCACAGAGGGCCCACAGAAGAGATTCCTACTGTGGAAGAGCCACCCCCCTCCCCGCTGGCCATGTTCCATCAGTGCTCGTCTTCTCCTTCTGTTGGCTACAGAGTTATCAAATTTTATCTGAGCATCGGCTGTTCAGAATGGAGACCACATTTCCCAGCCTCCCTCACTGCCAGGTGCAGCTATGAGATTAAGTTCTGGATAAGAGGAGGTAAATAGAAATGCTGCATATACTTCTCAGTGTTGGGGCTCACTGTTTTCTTCTTTCCTCCCTGCTGGATTGTGGATATGAGGACTGGATTTGTAGCAGCCCAAACTTCCTGTTTTTCCTTAATCCTCAGTAAAAAAAAAAAAAAAA